ACAACAACAACAACAACAACATCCAGACTCGCAAGGTCCCTTCCCTGATCTGGTTCCAAATGGTCGTCGACCGCGAGATCAAAGTCCGCGACATCCTCGCCACTCTCGCCCGCCACGGCCACCGCACCCCTCCCGACACGCACAAGACCCTCAAGAAGCTCTGGCTGCTGATGGACGTCGCCTCCTGCCGTGGTCGCGCAGAGCTGATCAGTTCCAAGACGCTCTTCACCGACGAGGACCTCTACCGCGCTCGCCTCTTCTTCGTCAAGCTCTACATGCTCTTCGCCGACCCCGTCTTCGGCCCCAAATCCACCGCGCTCGCCAAGCTGTTCCTTGGCCAGAAGGGGTTCACGCCGCTTTGGGAGTTCCTGCGGCGCAAGAAGTACCAGACCGAGCAGGAGATCGTGGAGATGAAGACGCGGTACGATGTTCGCCCGACGATCTTGCAGGCCATGGACGGACATCCCATCAACGGCGTTCCGCCCAGCGAAATGGGGATGATGCATGTTGAGGGCTGGGGCCGCGGTGTCAGACACTTGATGCGCCCGGATCAGATTGTCACCTGGCAAGCGTACAAGAGGGGGTTGGCGCTGCATCTGAGGACCGAGAGGATGATGATTTACGGTCATGTGGATTTTAACACGGGCCGGCCGCTGGTCCCCAGCCTGGATGAGATGTACATGAGTGATGACGAGTTTGACCTACCGGCTGATTCGAGCTGGAGGATCATGAAGCATCGCAAGGCCCATGGTGGTTGTGGGAATGTTCCTTTTGAGAGAAGCATGTGGCAGCCTAAGCACGCGAGGAAGGCGAGGTGGAATACGTTGACCGAGGAAGAGAAGGAGGACATTTTGGCTGCGGAGGAGGAGATCAAAGAGGCGAAAAACTTCCGGTACGTGGAAGGTGACTTGGATGTGGCTCTTGCGGACTTGGAGGAGGCATTGTATGACTACGCCGTGGAGAAGGAGGAGGGTAGTCACGAAGAGGATTTCATCGACGGCCTTTGGTTCGACAGCCGCGTTCCAATGCCCGACGATGCGTCTCCTTTTGGTGATGAAGAGGAAGACTTCGATGATGAGGACTGGGAGGCATGCGCGAAGTACATGGAGGGATTAGGCCCGGACCGCCCGGTACCCGACCATTTGACGCTCATCCGACAAGACAAGGCTCATGCCCAGATCGACAAGTCAGTCCTTATGGCCAAGCAGGTGTTCGATAGCATGGCCGAGAGCAGCGATGAAAAGCAAGAGCAAGACAAAGCCTGGAATGACGTCGTCGCCGACAAACTGGTCAAAATTGCTGGCAAAGATCCCCGTCACAGAAGATGTACCCCCGTTGCTCCTCGTAACCCCACACGCGAGGCACATCAAGCCTTCGAAATCGCCACGAATGGCCGCCAAAACGGCTGGGTGGTACCGGTAAGCCCAGACCAAGCCGATATGCCAGTGGTCCGGGCCGAATATCTTCTCAAGGGCGCCGTGGCCCTCAACAAAGCCAAGCTTGACACCGGCGACCTTGACCCTTCCGCCGACGCCATGGCCGACGACGAAGTCGCTGAGTTGGAAGACGAGCAGATTACCGCACAGCTTGAGAAGACTGTTAAGTACCGCTGGATGCTTCACATGCCGCGTAGCCAAGGTGGCGGTGGTGGTTCAAATGGTCAAAATTATCATAGTGTCCAGGAACCGCCCGTTGAGCTACCGGTACCTCTGGCCATGGACATGGAACTCGTGGAGGAGAGGGAAGCCTGGCAGGAAATGCTGGATATGGAGGAGAAGGAGGACAGGAAGGCCTTGCAGAGAATGAATGACATGGAGGATGATGAGGACACGGAGGATGAAGAGGATATGGAGGATGAAGAGGAAACGGATGAAGAAAAGGATGAGGACACGGAGGAGGAGGAGGAGGAGGAGGAGGAGGAGGAAGAGGAGGAACATTACGCCAACCTCGTCGCCGACCTCTCCTACGTCCACACCCCCATGACTCCCAACTTCAACCTCCACAACCCTCCCAACTTCGGCCATTACAATCCAAACCCTAACAACGCCGGCCCCAGCGCCAGTACCTTTCCTGGCTATCCCTACCAAATCCCCAGCAACAACACCATCAACCAACCCATCCCCAATATCACCGCCAACCAACCCATGAACCCTCATCACAACCAATCCCACATCACGCTCACTATGCCTAACCGACCCATCCCCAACATCACCATCAACCAACCCAATCGACCCATCCCCAGCCACGCCCCGAACCCTCACAACCCCGACCTCCCCTATCCCTCCGAGGACTACCACTACAACTGCGATCCCGACCAAGAAGACTTCGACTGGCGCGGCTGGCTCGACATGCAGCACCGTAACGATCTACTCGGCGAGGCTGCTAGACTGGATCCGAGCCTGCTGAATGGTGCGCATGAGATCGGAGCGGAGGAGCTGCGGAGGAGAGCGGACAGGACGATCGAGGAGGCTAGGGGGTATAGGGACTGGAGGGAGAGGGAGTTGAGGATGTGGTATCGGGAGTGGTAGTTTTTGAATGTGTGTCCTCTGTCTGCAGTGGTGAATTTGGAGTTGGAGTTGTGGATGAGATTGGCTGGACAGTGTGTTTGTGGATTGGAGTCACTGGTTTGGTCATGAGGTGCCTTTGTTGTAGGTGCCTAAAGTGGCCTGGTGGAGTCCTTTCCTGGATGGGAAGGAGTGATGGCTCTGGAAGCAAGGAGGTGGTAGGAAGGAGCGATGAGGATGAGTAACCCCAGAAAGGAAAGGATATGGAAGGAACGATAGAAAGATGGATGTTCGGTGCATACCACTACCTCTATGCATGCCTCGAGGCCTTGGGAGGCTATGCTATAGTTGCTTGAAAGTTATTGCTTCGTGGCAGCTAGGAGTTGGGCGTTTAGACTAGTTCGTCAAATATTTGAAAGCCCATTCTACGAAAGGGCGACGTGTCTCGCAGCTTCGACTCTACACTAGATAGATAGAATGAATCTCGTGCTTGAAGCTTCTTGTCATTCTCCCTCCTAGCGCATGTCTATGGAGTAGGTAAATACATCTATATCTCGCTCTTTTAGAATGATCGTAAATCGTTCATCATCACTTCATTATACCAAAAAATCAGAGTGCCACACCAACTGTTATCCGTAAATAGAAACTCCCTTTGAATTTCATGTGACCCAGCCAAGATTCCCCGACCATAGGGAATGACCAACTGTCGTCTCACCGAGACCTAAGAATGTGCCTCAGACTCCCTTCCGCATGACTGACCGTCCTTCGAGGTTCTGTCAAACTCGCACCCATTGACGGTGTCAACTCCTCCGCCTCACTCCTCACAGCCTGCTCATGCTGTTCATGCTGTTGTTGTGGTCCAGGAGCGCCACCATTGCCCCCCTTCCACGGAATCCAAGCATTCCAGCTCGCCCTCGTCGAAGCAGACGAAGAGACAGCAGCCCCATACTCCTTCTTCCTCGAAGTCCGGTATGGCAGATCACTGGCAGAGCGCGTAAGATTCGAGGGCCTGGTGACGATGATGGAGTTATCGCTAACGGCGGAGGGAGCGGCTGCGGTCCTTACTCCTAGATGGCTGTCGGATGTCTGTGGAAGGGCTGGCTCGCTGACTAGTGCAGATGTACTCTCATACCGCTGGAGTTGTCCGGCGCTGCTTCTGCTGTGACTGTCCATGACTGCTGTGGCAAAGGATGCTGATTTCTTCCTTGCCAGCTTTGCGGCTGCTACTGAGGCCGTGGCGGTTTCCCCGGACTTTTGTTGGTCATCACCCATGTCCAAGCCATGGTCACTCGCTATGTGCTCATTTTGATGATTCGTAGTGGTAGTAGCGCTTGACCCTGCACCATGTTCAGAGAATCCCAAGTTACTGTGCCGTTTTTCGAACCTTCCACGGACTTCTCCGGCTAATTCTGCGGCTGGCTTTTTCGATGACTTGTCCTCTTCTGACGAGCGGCTAGAGGACATAATCGTCTCCAAAGTCCCGTATGCAATACTTTTGGTCCTCCTCCCTCCAGTCCCTGGTACTCTCCGCCTCCTTCGAGCACCACTTTCGTTTTCATCAGGGACAATGGCCTGCAACGTAGGACCTGCTCTAGCACTTTGACCCGAAGTGTAGGAGCCATTGTCCCTCCGCTTCGACACGGGGCCCGGGGAAGGTGCCGGCAGTCCGCCCGTCGGGGAGATGAGGGAAGCACCTGAGCCGTGGGGTGCCATGTGAACCTCGTACTGGTTACTCAGCGAGTACCGGGATCGTGCACATATTTCGGCAATACGGTCAAGGTCCGCTCCTATATTATTGCCACCCTGGGCATCCATTTCGGCCATGAAGCTCTTGAACGAGAACGCATCCATTGGCGGAAGTTTTTTCGGCTTTCCATTCCTAGACTTGACAACGATCGGACGAGAGGATGTTGACCGTCGCTCCCATAGTAACGGCAGAGAGTTGAAGCCGCTCTCGGGCTGGTCTGAGGTCGACATCTTGTTTCTTGCCTTTCTCCCGTTCGCATCCTGATTCCCTTGAGAGCCAGATCCTGCGTTTTGGTTATTGATCCCCGTACCAAGATAAGTCTGTCCACTTCGAGGATCGGCCTCGAGCTCCGGAGAGTGAGATGGATGAACACGGCTAGAGTCTGCGAGACTGCTAGTTCCCCGTCGGTATTGGGGTACGATAGAGCTGCGAGTCCTTACCAGAACGGGCTTCGAATATGTCCTGCTTTCGGCCCCAGTGCTTTTGGCGTAGTGATGATTGCTAGATGAGGCGGCCGAACATGTGCTTGCCAGTTTCTGCCGGGCTGAAGTGTCATCGAGGGGAAAGGGCTTTCCTTCAGCAGTGGAGGGAATAACGGAGACCGCAGTCTGCCTAGACTGGAGGAAGAAGCGCGGAAACGAGACTGGAATTGCGCCGGGCCGCTGTCTCTTCTTACGGGAACGCCCACCAACAACAGTACCAGTGTCCGAAGAAGGCGGCGTCTTGGACAGACGAGGGGTAAGGGAGCTGGCGGACGAAATAGGGGAGGCAGAGACGGAGAGGATGCAGAAAAGGAGGAAGATGTAGCACGAAGTTGGTGAGGACCTGGATTAGGACCTTGATGGGTTTGTACCCGAAGGGGTAGAGAAGCCTGTCTGGCAGGCTGCTCCGGGATCACTGGCCGGGCATCGTCCTCGTCGTGGAGGAGCGAGTTTGAAGAGTCGGCCAGGCCTTGGCGGGTACGGTGTGGCTTGCTATATATGTGCATAATTATCCGCGTGGCATCAAACGAAACAGAATGGACGAGATGCGGGTGATAAGTATGACTAAGGTACGGGGGCGGGCAGGTCAGAAAGTACTGCGGCAGCGGAAGCGGAAGCAGAAGCAGAAGCAGAAGCAAGGAATTGCAGTGCAGCGAGTCGCAGCCGAACGAGTGGAAGCAGCAGCAGAAGAAGCATGCAAGTGTGTCGTGGTCGCTGGCAGTTCGCGGATCGTTTTCCAGGGAGGTCTGAGGAGGTAGACTGGGACTGGACCGAATTCGGGACTGGACTTCCCTGCGATTGATCTGGACTCGTTGACTCGTCGACTCGGGTTGATGAGGAGGGGAAATAGGCGTGGGACCTGGGAAAAGGCGGGAAATGGGCATGAACCTCCAAGCAACATGCATAACAAAAAGGTGCTCAGGATGAAACGCTCAGGATGAGACGGATCGCCGAGACCAGAACGACTTTGACGGCTTCCAGCCTTTCTGCGTGTCTCAATCTTCGGATGGCCGGCTGTCAGACGTCAACGTGGGCGACTCGTGTTCGCTCGTGCTTTTTCTGTCGCTGCAGAAGGTCCGGAAAAAGCGTCTTTTTGCGTTTTTTGCGACCATCCAGGAAGGTGTTTTGCCGTCCTTTGCAACCTTTGGACTTCCTTGCCAGTCCTATTTGGGTTGGTCTGCCATTGTCGCCATGTTGTTTGACATGCAGAGAATCCGGAACGTCTAGAGAACAAGTGGAACAACTGAAGTGGAACAACAAGTCCGAAGTCTGACAAGCCCCTTCATTTTCCTGATTCGTCCTTGAGAAGGACTGGTTTTTGATAATGTACGTGAAACTGTGGGATGGCCGGCGAATGGGAGCAATCAAAGAAAAGACGGCAAGTGATGAAAAAGGATGCGTGCTGCAACTGCAAGAAGTCGTGGCTTCCTTTCAAAGGTCCCCCGGCCGAAGCCATCATTGGGATCAGGGGTGGGGTCCCTCCGAATGAGAGTGGCTGAGACCCGGGGAGCTTGAGGGGTTGAATGCGGGGTACAGTGGTTCTTTTCGGGCCCACTGCCGTCGCCTGCTTGGGCTGGCGCGGGGGCCCATCTTCTGGACCCGCCCGGCCTGGACGCCGCAAAATGGAGTTGGCTGCTCCGGGCCGCAGTGCGAGTCCACGATCCACCTCCGGCCTGTCAAAAAGGCAGCACCGGAGCCTGTGTTGAATCATTTATCAGACACCAGCAGATGCGCATAACATAAACCAACTCACGACACTATAGATGTGAATCCCTCGCTCAGCATAGCACACATGGAGGCTTCGAAATAGTTCAAATGGACGGGTAACTCAACCGACGACACAACGAAGCAACTCGAGCAAAAGTATAATAGGTATCATTAAGGAACTCACTGCTAGCCTGTATCAACACTCGAAGGATTGGGAGACTCTCTCCGAAGGCTTCCTTCGAAAAGTCACACATTCGATATCATAGTTAATCTCATTTCCTGCCTAGGATGGAGCTTTGCGCATCTCGGTCGCATCCCGCCGACTTTCTGCCTCACCACCCTCATGCCTCCCATCCGCGACGTCAGATGAGCTCCGTATTGATCACCATACTCGGCTCTTGCCTTGCCCTGCCTACGAAGCGTTCGGCTGCACAATGGTACCATATCCGTGTGGGTTCCCGCCATTCTGCACATTACTGCTGTAGACGCCGGGAGCGCGGTCGGTGACGATGGAGCCTTGTCTCAACCGCTCCCGTCGGTCGTAGTAGACATATTCGAGGTAAAAGGCATGGACGTGACCGGGGATATAACTACATATGAGGTTGACAAATTGGTCAGTTGTGTTTTACCCCAGTGTTGCCCGGAAGATCTGTGGATAGTGTAGTCTAGATGTATGGAAAGTCATCCAAGCACAGAAACATACGTACCCCAATAAGGTCAGGCAGATGTTGATTAGGAGGTCTGCCCCACAGCCGGCGATGGCAAACACGGCGATCGGAGGACCTGTGGATCTCTTGGGTTAGTGGATGTGATCATTCGGGGCTACAGATGCCATTCGGAGGGAGTGAGCGGGGACCTATGGGGTTCGTACAGAAAATGGTCACAATGACCAGGAAGATTGCTGAGGCCACTCCCATTTCTTTTTTCCTAATGGTTGGCTGAGAATGTGAAGATGTGAAGAGGTTTTGGCAACTGGTTCACAGTGATGATATAGTATGCAAAAAGAAGAATTGTGAAGGAGAAGAAAGACGTAAGATCTTTCCCAGAGCTTGATGTTTCAGCAGTTCACCCAACAACAACACCGCATCGGGCGATGACGTATGTCTGTGCTGGGATAACCCTAACCCTTGCTTTCCCAAGTTTCAGAAGAACTGAAGCATCGCTGCCTACAAGTATAGTCATCTGTACATACAGGGAGGGAAAGTGTCTCTAGGTGTAAGTGAAGGAATCTTGTCAGTATGTACTCGGCCATCCCCACTTCACTTCAGCCGTTATTCTTTGATATGCGACTTTGAAGTACACTACACTTTTGAACTTGGTTAACCGGGACGAGAACGCATCAAAGGTAGCCAAAGTCGAGCGTCCATTCCAGAAGTAGTACACATAGGATCAACAAGAATTCATTGGCAACTGTTTCACGGTTCAGAGGATCAGCCGGGGCATCGGCATCCACAAATCGGAGCCACGGCCGGCGGTGACCGGAAAGCGTGATCAGCGAATCCCATCTTTTTCAACGCCGCGGGCCCTCCTCAAAGTCGGGGCAAATGCTGTCTCCAGATGCTATGATAGAAAGGAAAGCAACACAGCTTCGTGATGGCATCATATTAACGGTCTAGACCGAGGCGACGAGGCCCGAGGGTAGAAATATCAATCCTTTGTGGCCAAACTCCCAGTATTCAAATAGGAGTGTCTGTGTGAAACTCTACTGTGATGTCTTTGTAAGGTGTAAGGGTAACATCTGAGATTGGCTGTTGTGCTTCGAAGCTGTGCAACGTGAGTAAGGAGTCTCGCCTATGTACTGAAATGTAGTATGTAAGAGTGTGATTTTTTTGTCTCTGACAGTAAAGCCGAGGTCTTGACGTGGATTGGGATTGTCTCATAATCAGTGACTAGTCAAACCAACATCCAGATATTGTAGCAAACCTAGCCAAGGCTTGTCATTTTCGACATATGGTACGCCAACGAGGCGCAATCAGATGAACATAGAAATCAGATATCGGGCAGGGTAGCTCGGTAGGTAGCAGGCACACAACTCCAATGAGTGCCAATTGGCCTGGAATTGTGACAGTAATTGGCGCCGATGCGGTCCTGATTGTCTTGTTAGTGGGAGGGGTTGAGCAATCGAAATAAATGGAGGAGGTTGAGGAGCTCGTGATAATCGAAGCTCTGCATGACAGCTCGTTTGGGCGCCCCAATCAGTTCAGCCGGTCAGCTCTTCCTTTGAGCTCGAATTGACGAGGCATTCCAGTTTGCCGTTCATTGATTGCTAGGCCACGATGGGGTTTGTTGACTCTGTGCAACCCAAGTTAATTTGGCCAGATCAAGGGTCGTCGTCACCGGTTAGGCTGGTGAGATGGTTCATGGTGTCATAGATGATTATACCTGTCAGCCCAAGTAAACATCGAGTCATCTTGATGGTCTTTGAATGAGTGGAAGGTATTGCGGCTATCAATCTGGTCAGAGATGGCGAGACGGAAAGAAGGAGCTTTGATGTTGAAAATGGAAAGGACCTGTAGGTAGCTTTGACACGAGCTTGCCATGTAGATGCGGAGTACCCGGTACTTCCGTCCTGAAGCACATTGCTCACTGTACGAGATAATGCATGAGTATGGGTTACCTCTCGAACTGTACAGTGAACTTCATCCACTTCCGTTGATAGACCGACCTACAACTAGAATGAGATTGTTGGCGGTTTCTCTTGTCTCCGGCGGGTGCACCGGCTGGTGCTCCGGTCGTGAACATCGCCGGCGAGGTGCTTGATGACAGATAGGTATGTCGTTAGGAGAAGTTCCGTCGTCTGTCACAGCGCCGTCCACAACCGGTCGGTCCCCTAGAATGGTATCCGCAACCGGGGCGTCCGACCGGAGTGTCGCGGCGGACTCGTTCACCCCAAGTGAAGGAAATCTCCTCTTGTTATCCTGACCGTTTCCCCTTTCTGACTCCACCCTTTCATCCACTTCTACGGGGCCTTCACTTGTGTTATGAAGAACCGCCTGGGGTCCGCCAAAATGCTAACCTAGGCACAGGTATACAGGGGTGAAAGTTTGTTAGTGACCTAGCAGATGAAATGTCGGTATTCTCACAGATGCGTTTTTGTCATCTCAACCTTCGAAATTTGGAACATATTGGTCAACCTCGTTCGTTCATTTTGCAGCCGCATTGCAGCCGCATTCCACATGCAATTGATTCGCTGTTTGTTGCCCATATGACTCGAGACAGGAAGGAACCGAGTATTGCAGTTGCTGTTTGGTTATTCTGACCGACCATGACCTGGACTGTTCGGTAGCCGTTGCCCTCGCTCCATTCACCTTCAACCACCACCTCCACCCCGCCCAGCCTTCCGTGAAGTTCAGTCGCAGAACTCAACATTGGCTGACCTTTTCGTCCTGGGTATATCCATGAGCTGGAGAAAGCCTTGGACCGTTTTATTGCTTGGCTATTTTGCTTCATATCGTAGGGCAACTGCGTTTTCTCGAATCCCTGGGCTGTTCGGTGTTAAGAAGATAACGGGCAGTCGCTGTCACCTCCACTATTACATTGGCTCCAAAACGGCACCACCAACTGGACCGATTGGGGACAACCGGGGACGACTGGGACCAGGTGGTGCTTGCGTCGGGTACTTGGGCTGGGTACTCCTAACCAGCTACGCCAACGGAAAAAAAAGGTTTGGACTCTGACAACAGTCGACGAACGGGAAACGGCCAAGCTGCTCCATCCACCGTCCACATCTGCCATTGCTAGGTCCGTCTTCCCACTGCCCCCGTCTCCCGACCTGCATCCATCCCCGACGACCCTCCCTCACCGTCGCCCGAAAACTCTATCCTAAAACCCGGGACTGACCAAGCTACACCGGAGCAGGCACCCACCCCTCTTGCCGACTCCTCGCCTTCCATTGCATCCATCTTCGGACGCATTCTCATCGACGTCGGCCCATCCGCCTCCTTTCCGCCCTTCTTCCCGTCCACTCCCCAGGCCCTCGGGTGCCTCCTCGCCCGTCATGGCGACCCAGCAAAGTCCGCCTTTCAAGGTGGACCGCTACGTGGTCATTCACGTTGCGACCACCTGCGACGAGCACGGTGTTTACGTGACCAAGGATTCCGCCGAGGTTATTGAGCTCGGTTGGATCCTCTTGGATGCCAACAACCTCGAGGAGGTAAGCAAGAAACATCCCCTTTGATGCCGATGCCGTGTCGCCGGCCTCGGCCTCGGGTCCCGGTCCCGAGTCGAGTCCGGTCTTGGATCCATTCGTATTGCTCTTTTCGGCCTGAAATGAACTCTCTGAATTCAAAGTCCTGTCATTCTATTATGTCCATGCTCAATGCTGACCACACCGTTTGTTGCAGATTCACAGAGAGAGCGTCCTCGTCAAGCCGGTCAACACCCCCATTACTCCTCTTTGCAGTATGTCGAGCCTCAACCCCTGATTTTCCTCTGCCGGCCGGGCCAATTGGCCCTTCTCGTGGCAGCTGCAGGCAGTTCTTGCTGACCCCTTACCCAACAGCGAGCTTGACGACCCTCACGTGGGAACATGTCCGCAACGCCGGTACCTTCAGGGATGCCATCAACCGCTTCGATGCTTTTGCTTCCGAACACTTGACTGGCCCCAACCTCGACTTCGTTTTCGTCACCCTCGAGGCTTGGGATTTGCGCGTCCAGCTCCCTAGGGAAGCCCGCGATAAGGCCGTTGTCCTTCCCCCCTACCTGCAGCATTCGCGCACTTTCGATCTGCGCACCGAATACCAAAGATGGCAGCAGCATCACCCCGAGTCGCTGCCTTTCGGCCCCTCGTCGCTTGCTAACATCTGCGCGGCTCTTGAGGTGGAGGCTGTCCAGAGCAGCGCTCCCATCAAGCACAACCTGCCCTTCCACCTGCAGGCTCTTGCTCCTGCGTCTCCTCGCCGTGCTATGGAGGAAGCTGTCACCCTTGCCCGTGTCCTGCGCAGCTTGATTCGCAAGTCTCAGCCCGCTCATGAGCATCCTGATGTGCTTACCCGGCCTATGGATGCCCGTGCTGACGTTCGCGCTTTCCTGTCTGAGCGCAGCAAGGTTCTGCACATGTCTGGCTTGCCTCACGATACCACCCAGTCTGAGCTGGAGAGCTGGTTCACCCAGTACGGCGGTAGGCCCATTGCGTTCTGGACTCTTCGCACTCCGGAGCAGCACAAGCCCACTGGAACCGGCTTCGCCGTCTTTTCTTCCCACGAAGAGGTATGTCTTGTTTATTGCATCTAGTGCTTATCACTAAAATTTCTGGTGACTGACATCATACATCGCTTTAGGCCGCTGAAAGTCTTTGCATGAACGGAAGGGCCTTGAACGAAAAGGCCATCGAGGTGTCGCCCTCCTCTAGCAGGGTCCTCGATCGTGCTTCCGAGATCCTGACGCCCTTCCCTCCCAGCAAGAACCGCCCCAGACCTGGTGACTGGACGTGCCCCTCTTGCGGTTTCTCCAACTTCCAGCGTCGCACCGCCTGCTTCCGCTGCTCCTTCCCGGCTGTCAGTGCCGGTCCCACTGGCGAGATGGGCTATGGCTATGGCTACGGACCCCCGGCTATGATGCCCGCTCCTCCTCACATGGGCCATCACGGTCACGGCGGTGGACACGGCCGTATGGGCGGCTCTGGTGTCGTCCCTTTCCGTGCCGGTGACTGGAAGTGTGGTAACGAGGTGTGCGGATATCACAATTTCGCCAAGAATGTGTGCTGTCTTCGCTGTGGAGCGAGCCGTGCTGGCGCCGCTGTGGTCGCCGACTCGGGCTATCCATCCCCCTTGGACGCTCAAACCTCCTACGGCATGAACCAGGGATCCATGGGCGGTAATTCCGCGCCTGGTCCCTTTGCTTCTGCCGGTGGCTTCAACTCTGCGAGCGGATATGGCCAGCATTTCGGTGGCCCTCCCAGCACCTACGCACTTCCCTCTGGCCTCGGTGGCGGTGCTGCCCCTTACCCTTCCCTGAACACCCATTTCGGCCCCGCTCCTGGCTCTCACTCGGCTGGTCCTTTCGATAGCCGTGCCGCCGAGGCCGCTTTCCAGTCTGCCAGCAACGGACCCGCCTCTGCCGGACCTGGAAACAACTTTTACTCTCAGACCGAGAACGATCCTTTTGCTTTCCTCTCCAGCGGCATCGGCAGCCTCTCCGTGAGCAACCAGGATGCTCGTCAGAACGGCGGTGCTGCTCCTGCCAGCAAGTCACCCGCGTAAAGGAACAACAACACGACTCTTCCCAGTGCCAAGCTGTACGGCGGATTGCTCACATGGCATCGAGCTTTCGATTGTTTCTTCAGTTGTGAATTTCACCGCGAACAATTTTGGGAACGAAAATAGAGATCAATTTGGAATCTTGGCGATAACTATGGGCTTATACTGTTTCTTCACGGGGTGCATGGGGCAAGCGGAGCACGGGTGCAGGCAAGGCTTTTGGGAGAACTACTGCGGCGGTTTTTACTTGGGCGTGGAAAGCGGGACGGAAGCGGCGCCTGGCAGGCAAAAGTTTGCGAATCGGATGGGTATGATCAAAAGAGAAACTGCAACATGCCATTTTTACACAACATCCCTCAGGGCGGAGTTTCATCTCGAACGACGCATGGTAACTGGCTGGCTGGCTTATGGCAAAAAAAGGGGGCGGGGAACGGCTGGATTCATTGCTAGGAGCTACGGTTTAAGGCCAACGGTCTCTCAGCGGCTCTCGGGATTTTTGCAACGCCGGTTCGCTAGAGCGAGACATATCATGGGCTGGCGGAGCTGGGTTAACGGAGCAGGGGTAAAAAAACTAAATCGTAATTTTTGGCCTTATGTTTCTTGGTGGGATGGCGGTTGGGGATGTATGGTGCTGGTGGCTATGGGTGCTGTTTGCCTTTTTCCGCGCGGCTTTCATTTTCATATCTATTGGACGAGTGTGTCAACCGTACTATTTTTCTCTGCCAATTTGGTGTCTGTCTTTCAAAGTTTGTTCGAAATCTTTTTTCCCTCCCAAAATCAACTTTTCACACATCTAGTCAAATCACATATACACACAAGAACAAACGAAACCGCGGTACTTTATTTCGAACAGTAGCAAGGCTAGGCAAGGCAAGACAAGACAAGGCAAGGCAAAGGGGAGTAAAAGACGGACAACGGTCAAATTGGTCAGGAGAACAGGCAGCGGAGGCGAAGGGGTGTCGGTCGGTTCAGTTGGTTCGGATGGATGGACAGGACGGTTTGCTAAGGAAAGGTTGAGGTTACTCACTTCTTGATTTCATAACAACACACAATAGGTATGTAATTGCTGTTTGTGAACTCTTATTTTTTCTTGCCTTGTGTCGTTGATTTTCCTTGAGGAACAAGCAGAGTATAAAATAAAATGTAACAATCGTATCTTCTTTGGGCTGAACGATCCATCAACCTATCTATCGCCTAAGTGTATAAAAGAGGATCACAGCCTGTGGAGATCATGTTGAGTTGATATTAGGCGGTGAGGAGTCAGTCAGAGGAGAGGGATCAAGAAGTGATCCCGGAACCGGTTGCTCTATGATATGGGCAGGTTGTAACAGTAACGTAGTTCATTCACCTGGTCTTATTGATCATCACCGTTTCAACTCCTTCCTAGAACAACAGCTTTGAGTCATGCAAATCATTTATTTTCACCTCTTCTTTCTGTTGTGATTCTCCCGGTTCCCCATTCTCATTCATCCCATCCCATCCCATCCCATCCCATCCCATCAATCCTAAAATATTTCCCTCCGTGTCCCCAATCTTCCAGCAGGTACCTCATGCTCATGCTTTACCAAAGGTTCTCTATACCATGATGATGATGCCATTCCCACCGATTTCGTCACCCAATTCTCTCTTTGTAGCCAATGATACCTAACCCAGGACGTGCCGTGCTGTTGGGTATGCCTCGGTATGTGTCCCAGCCCCACCCAGTACATATGCTAAACATGCCATATAAAACGATACGAGTTCTTTTTTAAAACTTCCTACTTAGTAACTCCCTAATCTACCTCTGCTTCCGCCCTGACAATCTCCGGCCTTTTCTATTTTCGGTGCCGCCGCCGTCATCCTAGGTACGGTTTCGATTTCGAATATTTTGCAAAAACGAGCTCTTCATTCCAGGCGGAGCATCATCGAACCACTGGTCAGAATAACGCCTTTTCCACATCATCCTCTCATAACGTGTCATGTTCTCCTAGTTATGACTTTGACTTGCTGACGGCCCGGTTGGGGCATTTGCGGGCGCTTGCGGCCGTGGCTGCGCCGGTGCCGTTGGCGGTGGTAATTGTGATGAAGATGATGCTTGTGGTGGCCGACGTTGTTGCTGTTCCTGTTGTTGTTGGTGTTGTTGTTCCCCCCTGGGTCTGGTGGGTACTGAGGATCGTTCGGGCCCTCGCTGCTGCTGTGGCGCTGACGATGAAGTTGTTGTTGGTGGTTTGGTAGCGGCGGCTGGGTCCAGGTGTGGACGTTTGGAATCGCGCTCTGATGGTGGCGCTTCTCGACCTTCGGCAGGGCGCTTTCGAGGATCACGATCCTTTTCTCGAGTTGAAGAGCTACCGCCACTAACTCCACTTGGTGCAGCGGTTGTTGCTGGTGCCCCTTCTTTGACGGCCCGCCGCGCTTCCCTCTCCTTCCTCTCGTTCTCTTTCCGAAGAGCCTTGGACTCGAATTCGTGCCATTCACCATCAATGTCCTTGAGTCTAAGGAGTCAGATTGTTAGTAATTAATAACGCTTGGAAGGGGCGTAATGACGAATGACAAAGGAAAGAAACTTACTCGATTGCTTGCCGTGGCGCTGGTTCCTCAGTGGTGAAGTAAGGATGCGCCAATACTTCGGCAGCGCTGGGCCGCTTATCTGGGTCGTATTTGAACATCCAGAGGAGCAGCTCGAACGCGGCCGGTGTCACCAGCTCCTTATACTTTTCCGCAAAGACGTTCGCTCGTCGCTGAGTTGGCCGTAGCAGTTCGAACCAAGGCATTTCAATAATGTTTGGCCAGTCGTTTCTGGTCGGTGTGCCCAGAACGGAATGGATCTTGTCCAGCTGGTTGATCTCGCTACCGTCACCAGGGAAGATGGCACGCTTCGTAAATATTTCCATCATCACGCAAGCAGCGCTCCAGATATCCACGGCTGGGCCGTATTGTGTCTCTCCAAGGAGTAGCTCCGGTGATCTGTACCAAATGGTGATAACACGGTTGGTATAGTCGAGTTGGTGATGTTTGGCGTAGAACCGAGCCAAGCCAAAGTCAGCAAGTTTGAGAACCCCCTCGTTGCTGACCAGGATATTGGCTGCTTTGATATCTCGATGCAGGACGCCCCTAGTGTGAAGATAGTCCAAACCCTCGAACAACTGCAAAGCCAAGTGCTTCTTCTGGGCTGGGTCCAGAGTGTAGTCGGGATGGTTAATGAGACCTGTAAGATCGTGTGACAAGTACTCGAATACCATGAAACACTCGTTCATCTCAACCATCACTTCCATGAGCTTGACGATGTTCTTGTGGCTCAGAGACCGGAGCAGCTTGATCTCTCGCACCGCTGTCACAGGGAAGCCATCCCTTTCCCCTTCCATTCGTATCCTCTTGAGGGCGACTTGTTTTTTCGTATACACGTTGAGGGCTTTGAAGACCTTTCCATACGTACCGGAACCGATGACCGATTCGTTCCCTGGCTTTCTGTGGTATACTGACTTTGACTTGGCCAAGTCCGGGGGAAGAGCTGGCTTCTCCTTGAGCTTTTTGACAATCTTCTTGACAATTCTTGTCCTCGGCTTCTGGGGTTCCGCCGGCCTGTGGCTATCGACCGGCCTGTGGTTGTCTATAGGCCTGTGTTGGTCCTGCGCTCTGCGATCATTGTGACGAGCCCTGGCAGATGCCGGTTCCGTGGGCACGTTCTTAGGGAGGTCATGACGGTCCCGATTGGATCTGTGGGCAGATGGTGCCGTCGGCGGGGCAGCAGCAGGCGCTTTTGGAGGTTGCTTTTGCGAAGAGGGTTCCCGTGGCGGAATGACAGCATTGAACTTGAGAGATATTTCAGGCCGTGGAGCCGCTACTACTGGCTTTGTTACTGCAGTTTTCATGCTGAAACTGAACTTGTTCGAGGGCTGGGATTGCGAGCTAGCGGCTGGGCGGGTAGGAGGTTGCATTTGCTCTTCCTTCTCTTTGCTGGACTTGTTGGCATCATCGCCTTGAGAGTCTTTAGCGGATCTGGAAGAGTTGACATCCTCCCTCCCACCCTCTTGAGTGTTTGGACCAGAATCAGCGTGCTTGCTGGAGGGCGCACTATTCTGAGCATGGGTGGAATTGTTTTCAGACGTTGTTGAATACTGGCCTCGACCAGAGGAATTATGAGCGTTGGGACTCCATTGTGGACCCTTGGAGCTGCCCCGATGGCCTCCACGAGGGCCGCCGAATGAGCCACCGCGAAAACCACCAGGTGCAGCCCGATGCCCACCACGGTAAGGAACTGTTTGGTATTGGGCCGCTGGGCCGGTTGGAGGATATGGTGGCGAATGGCCTTGATTGTAGAGTGTTTGCGGCCCGGTAGGGGGGCCGTAATTGCCATGTGGATATCCATACTGACTATTCCGATGTTAGTCAAGAAAATCAAAGCTTTGCTCTGGTAGGACATACCTTTGTGGTGAAAATTGCTGGTTGTTCCAGCCTCGGCCGGCACCGTAAGGAGATTGGGCGGGAGGCGAGCCATGAAAGGATGAGTTAGGCGTTGCGTGTCCCGAGGAATGTGAATAGCTTCGGCCATCATGTGCCTCTGCGTACCCAGGGGGCATCTGGGCACCATAACCCCCTCGGTAGCTGTTCCGAGCGGCCATATTCACCTCAATACTATTGACGCCAGATGCAGGATCAAACTTGCTAGAAGGCCGCTGTTCGTCACGGCTTTTGCCCTTTTTGCTGGATTTGGAACGTCGCCTATCCCGTGGAGAGCCTTGAGGATGGTCGTAAGGCTCACGTGAGTCCGGGTCGGGACTTGGCTGTCTGCGCGAACCTGCGTCGGAAGCGGGGTGTCTGTTTTCGCGACGAGGGGGGGTCCGAGAACGTGACCTTGACTGATGCCGACGTTCAGGACGTTCTGCCCGGTCTGAGCGACCACGATGCCGTGGAGATGGACTCCTTCGGCGTACACGTTCCGATGATCGGTCAAAGATCCCACCACGATCCGGTGACCGTGATTTCCGCCTTCGAGAGCGATCTGGGGATTTGGATCGGCCCGACCGTTTCCTGTCTCTGGAGCGTCGCCGCTCGTGGCGATTTGGGGAGCGAGATGGCCTCCTGTCAAATGGCGACCTGCGGCGGTCCCTTGGATGTTGCACGGGATTTACGTCGTCCCTTTCTCCTCTTCGAGGGCTCCGGCCACGTCGTGACTTTTTGGAGTCCGGCCCACCTGGCGATGGGGTTCGACTACGTCTGCGCTTGCTCGAGCCTGGCGACCTTGAGGAACCACGTTGAGAGGCACGGGCTGGGCGTGGAGGGAGTTGTGAGTGTTGTTTTCCGTGATCGACGTTCTGGCCACGTTCTTGGGCGGCGTCCCCTCTGCCTCTTGGCGGGCCAGGACTTCGATGGCGTCGGTCCGGGGACAAGTGGCCGTCGCGACCACGAGGCTCGCGGGAGCGATCTCTGCGGCTGCGTGGGGAGTCTCGGGAGCGATGGGGCAGGCGCGAAGAGGGCGGTTCGATCGACCGGCCGCGAGGTTTGCCGGATTTGCTGCTGTTGTTGTGGCGGGCTGCTGGGTCAGGAACAAGATCAGGTTCAGAGGACCGGTTCACGACGGCAGCGGCAGGCGAAGTAGTCGGACGTGAAGTATTCATGCCTAGAGCACTGCGTGGTTGGTTGTTGGAAATGCGGCTGCCATTTGGCAATGCAGCATCATGTCGACGGGAGTCTGAGAATCCAAAAGTGTATCTGACTTTTGAGGTTAGTGGCATCTTGCGTGGCCGACGAACAGGGGTTGCCCGCTGCGACCCGCTAGAAACGCGTGCACACTCCAGCGTCCTTCTCGGGCCCTGCAACCTGCTCCAAGGCACTGTCGAACGCGAAACACCTTTGAGATAGGTAGTGTCTCCCTAGTAACGACCTTCAGTTCCAGTTGCGAAATCCAATTGCCATCCACCTCCCAGTCTTGTTTTGAACTCAATGTTTCGGGCGTCTTTCCACACGCAGCAACCGCAGTTGCTCACCCTGTTCGTTGTGATGCTACTACTTTCCTTGGATGGATTTGATAACCTCAGCGAACCGATCAATGCCAACGCTCCGTCCGCTGCACCAACGCGTCTCCGTATAAGTTCAAATCTAAGACCTTCAACGCCCACCCTTGCTCCTTGGTGTGTTGAATGATCCGTCAAGGTGTTGTATATCTGCGTCTGTGACTTGTCTGAATGGCTGCAAAATGTGAGAGATCAGGCAGAATTATATGTGCTCAGAAGGTGGAAGGAGGAGAAGCGATATGGTGAGGATCAGACCATACTGTTGCTGTGCAGTTAGTAGATGCGAGATGCTACTTAGCAATCGACAAGCAAAGATCAGATCCTTCTGCTCTGGCGATGACAGCCTTGCTCAAAGTAACCCGTAGCAACCTTGGTGTTTGAAGGATGAGGAAAGGCTGATGTGACGGTGAAGCCGAATATGTCGTTGGTTCAGATAGTGGGACCAGAGCTGAGGTGCTACATCGACGGCAGGCGATGAAGGATGTTGCAATCTGCTGGTCCCTCTCGACGCGATGTATGAGAGCGCCTGCGCTGGGGTTCATCATCCGTAGAACGTTCACCTATGGTTAAACGCCCATGTGCCGGAGCTTGACGCGACACTGCACTTGCTTGCGCACCTCCGGATATACCCCCAGGTAGACGAGCCTCGAAGCCAACATGCTTAATCGGACCCGAACGCGCTACCCTTTATAAGTCAGGGTACAGCGGTGGGCGTCCTACCCGCTGGTTGCCGCTCCCAAACCATACCAATGATATCTCCCAGTCCATATCTGCATCCTAGAGCAGAGGCATGCTCTGACTATGCAGGACTCTATATCACCAGAACATCCTCTCTATATAAGGTAAGACACGCTTTACGAGTGCATCTTATAAGCTGTCCATAGATGCCCAGACCTAGCAACCCAGTACAGGGTCTCCACCATACCGTTCGAAGCCTTGAGCATTAGCTCCCGAGATGATATTGCCGATGTGCATGTTTTTCTGATTGTCAGTACCTCTTTTCGCACGTAGCCGTCTCCTTCAAGACTTCAAAACTCCAGTTGGGGCATATGCAAGCCACATAACACCAAGCTACCGGGGCTCTGTCTCTTGTGTGCTGGACATCATGGTTGTTGCAGATATACACCATCTTCAAGGTCCCCGCCATTGCCCTTTGGCAATCCCCGTGGTGGTTTATTGCAGCACATCAATTATCGTTAGATGCCTGAAGAAGCAGCATGTCGGCGGATACGGTAGGCAACCTGCTACCTTCCCACTACGCCATCATGTAAGCGCAACAGTCAAGGGGGAACCGGTTCTTCAAGAGGGACTGGTGCTGGCATAGTGGACGAGCGCATCCTGCTGGAGCACATCACATCCTAGTTTCGAAACTGTGGCATCGGCCGAGGATAACGGAGTTGTTGAGACGACGATGCTGTGAAATACTTCTTGCTCTTTTCGCCGTGATTCTGGGGTCCTGGTGGCCTGTTCCATATGATGTGGATGGTGTTAGAAGCATCATGTTGTCCATCCATCCTCCGTGGTCACCGGTCCTGTTCTGCTGGCAGGTGGTATCGGAGCTTAGGTATCGCCTTGGCCGGAACCGTGAGTTGGTAAATAGGCGGTGCCGGTAACGATCAAAGGATAGGAGGCGGCGGCGATGTGTGCGACCTCAATGGGCGATCCTCATGTTTCTTTCAGTTACCCCCACGAGTTTTCCGCGATGGAGACCGATGGCATGTGTGTCTCTTAAGCTTCGAGCGGCTGTGGTGACGGCTTTGTAGCCAACGCGGGGGCATTGGTTTAGCTTCTGGAGCGTCTCTGATGCTGTGCCCAGGTGCTGGCCATTGGGTTCGAAAGCCCCGCAAATGGCGACGTCTCGGATTGTTGCCACATCGTGGGAATGCCTCGGGAAAAAAAATGAAGCTGTGGGACCGCTCGGGAACCGCTCCGTCAAGCAGTGATGGTAGAGTATGTCGTGATAGTTAGAAGAGCGACGGGCGCTGAATGGTGCGATAATCACATCAATTGGCTGTTGGTGACAGACAGAGGGAATCCTGAGCCAAAGTGAACCAAGCCACCGAGACTCAGCTGTGGGCCAATCCCGTGACCAGCCCGATCGGGCCAAAACAACTATGGTGGCCCGTGCTTATCGCTCGAGGTAGTGTCGTACCGTCCGTCTTCGTAACATCCACCAACTGGATCTCAGTGCTGAGGCTTTCATCTTGACACATGCATCCATTGATACGCTGTCCGACATCACTTTTGATACGTTTAAATACGGATGGTATTGAATGTAGAAGGCTTTATGCTCCAGAAAACGTCAACCTTCAACAGGCCATACCTGTAATGGCATATGTCAAGCAACTGTCTACCTTAGTCTTTTCATCTCATCGGACTCAGGTCATCGCACAGGTATCAGGCCCTCTTCCCTTCCATCTGATGTAGTGTAGACCACAGTAGTTTCCTCCACCATGTTTTTTATCCTTTGGTTTCCATTTGCTTTTACTTTCGCCCGAACCCTTTTGGGCGTCAGTCCATAATTCCACCTGCTCAGCTGCTGTGTTAATACTGAGGATGGTGATCTGACAGGTGGAGATATAAAAAGATGGAACATCCAGGGACTCTGACCCTGTTGTTCTGAACGCTATAAAGCAAGACAACGGCACCAGTAAAATTTAAAAAAAATTTAAAAAATTTGCGCGAAATAATGCTCAGTTCAAATGGTACTCTTGACGGTTTCTGTGGATTGAAAGTTGAGTGCAGTGGTGCTGAGTGCAGTTCGTGATTTGGGAGTTTGTATGTTGTCGATGGATGGATGTCAGGTGTTCGGACGGTTTTTGACACCACTGCTGAGATACCATGGTCCTCACGATGTTATTCTTTCTACATCAACAGCCATGACTCGTTTATATGATACCGCTGATGGGTTCGGAGCCAACTGTGAAGTTAATTCTGATATTAGCCTGAGGACTAGGCAAGAGTTATCCGAGGCAAGCCGTCTATTTTGCCATGACTCTCTTATGACCGGCCTTGCTTTCCTCTCCTGTTTCTGTTTACTGTTCGTCTTTAGCTCCCTTTGTCTCGTGACACACATGGTGAAGTATCACGTTATGGTGTTTGTGGTCTACAGTTTGTGTATCAGGAGCTGCTGGATATCCGATCGTATTTTATACTTGAGAAGACTATGCTATTTCAGCTGTCCGATTATGTCGTTGTTAATATTTCGTCCATAACAAGATTCAGACGAGTGTAAGCCCGTTGACCGAGACTGGCCGTTGTACATCAACAAACATTGATTCCATACGATCAGCTTTCTCGACAAAGCCCGGCTAAACATATATCTCGAGGCTGTTGGTTGTCCATTATTGGGATAGGAAACCAAGAAGAAATCCATACTTTCCTTAGATTGACGATGCTTTCCAGTGGTGAGTCCAGTTTCGTCCATATGTAGATCCTTAGCTGGTGAAAGTTCGAAAACTTCTAGCATTTTCCATTGCAACCACACAAGCTTCTTGGCCTGTGTCGGTATCAACCATCAGCCGAAACCGCAACTACTGCATAGAGGTACGTAGCACGATGTAAAGAGTTTTCTCTTTTTTCACCTTACTACCACCCATTGATCCCAATTGTCATCTCATCTACGTTTCCCGAAGATGCGGCGAACACGGCACGGCGATGTGTTGACTGAGTGGTCCACATCGGGTACCTATGGAGGCGGAAGAGGATTGGCTATGAATGATGAATGGTTGAAAAGATCACTCCGAAAGTGTCTTGCATGCCAATGAGGCATCAACGAAGGTGAGGTGAGGTTGGAATTGTCAATGCATGAAACCTAACTGTGCCTTGTGCTGCACACATAACCCTCCCGTTGACGCCGTCGTTCTCGCGTGTCAATGTAGGTACATGCTGCGTTTCTACCTAACTAAGGTAGTAGGTAGCCCGTCTCTCGGGAACGTGATGCCATCCTCAATGTCACTGTAATGGGATGCAGAGGGGCCGAGAATCCATTGTATCTGAATGGTCTTCTTTGGTGTTGAAATTTTCGGAGATTTCAAGAGCCCGGCCACTTGATCCAAAGGTGAATGTTGTTCTGCAATACCATGGCGCTACCGAACATGGGCTCCGAGATCTGGGATGACGAGGGTATAATTGAAGAGTGAGTTTTGTTGCAGTCGCATCAGAGGCGAATGAGACCCATCAAGGCTTACCGCGCTGATGGAAAACTATATGCGACATCGTATCTGTTGGGAATTTACAGTGCGTCAGTGCGAACGTAGTGTAACTTGGCGTGAAGTCCAGGTTCGCGCAAGAAACATAGATGCCTACGGCTGCTGGGCGCTTCCGGTGTCGAGGATCTGGACAAACGGACGCAGCTCAATATCTGGGGTTAAAGCCATGTGGATCACATCCGCTGAAGTCTAGACTTGCTTTTGTTCCGTTCGTATCTTCAACAGCCTCGTCGATTAAGATCAAGTTGTCCATTGCTCCTAGAAAGCGTCGTCTCAAGATAATACCCCGCCAACGGCGTGTCGTCATGCTGACTAACCTGAGGCGACAAGGAGGGACAAGAGGGGAGCTGTTCTCCAAATTAGGAAAGCTCCTCACAGTGCGCGATATTATGGATCCCCAATGGGAATGACGCAAAAGAGCGGGGATCGTTGGATGGTTGGGACTGCGGCCTCGTCGTCCTCGCCTGCCAGTATTTCTGGGTACACAGTAACGGCGTCATAATCAACGTCCGGCGTTATGATCGCTGTGTCTGACTATCTATACGGTGTAATATAGCAGAAATGCATATGAAGTGAGAAAGTTCAAGATAGAAACCATCAAAGAATTGGGTAGAAACGTAGCCGTATGGATCTTTGCCAATCGGCCCTGGTGGGAGATTTGTGGCTGATATGGGTTTAAGTGAATGGAGTCCCGTTGCAGAACATGAGGGGTGAAACCTAATGCATGGAATCCCCGCGCCGATAGGTTGGTTACCAGGAATGAAAGGGACTTCGGAGGGGACCATGGGAAGCTATGCTGCTCTGGAACCAATGCCGGACAGCGCGGACCCAACAGCCCAACTTGGCTTTTGTTTTTTTTCGGTCTCACTCGTTAGAGAGGCACTATCTCTCGCTTCTTGTCTGAATTTTCTCAATGGACGTCTTTGGGTCAGCCTGATTGTGAGATCGAGGCCGCATGGGAGCCATTGTTGCTGCTGGTTGGGTGAAAAAGGAGTGCAGTTAGTCGAGAGAGTAGCATGCGATGATCAAGACTAGACCAAGACGACCCAAGGATTGAAACGATGGCCGTTTGTTGTTACACCTAGTATGTATGGTATGGTAATTGGGTACTATGTAGGTCCCATTGGGAAAGGCCAAAGACAACAGTTGGAGGTGATATGGCTTCCATTGCTGGGGCGGGGATAAGTACGCACACATCTGGGGGACCTTTCCACAGATGCTAAGTACCTGGAGTGATGCATCTCGGGATCTCCCTTGAATCACGGCCGAAGCAGGGACTTTGGGGTAAATCTCATGGGGAAACAAAGCACAGCGGAGCTTCATGGGCCAGATAGATATTGGAGGCTCTGAAATGTCCATGGATGTTTTTGAAGTCGAAGTGAAAGAAACAGAAATTTTCACCGAAGTTGAGGCGTTGAGGTGAGGTACCGTCATGCATCTGAATGTTCCCTCGTCATCAAGCTTGACGCCATGCCTGTTGACCTGCGTTAAAGACGGCGCTAGTGCTCACTGCAGCTTGGGCAAGCGGGCCGGTCTCGCAAAAATTGGATGCCATCACGGTAACTACCAAGACTTATCTAGAACTGAACGGGCAACTTCCCGGTCTCTCTCACGGACAATCTCATGTCATTGACGCTCGATACTGGGCTGGATTGACAGTGGCCCGGTAGCGCGTGTTGGGATTTCCTAGTGCCCAGTACTGTGCACATACTGGATAGCTGTGACCTCCAGAGTTGCCATCGAGATTGGACAATCCAGAGAGAGAGGTCACCTTTTGACGGCGGCAACCTGGAATAGCATCCCGTTGGGATTGCAATGTCATGATTCGTACGTAGGTAGTAGACTAGGTAGCTATCTGTGTAGCAGTGTTGCCCCCCAGTCCAGAGTATAAACAAAATCTCTCCCCTCTTCTACCCGGACGTCTGGCGTTACTGCCCAATTATCCTATCCAACCGCCGACACAACCTCCTACTTTCCCTCTTGTTCCCGCTTCCACTCAGACTCTAGTCATCCAGTTCCAGCTTTAGGTTGTCAACGTTGTCTTCTTGTCTGTTCTACCGTACCCATCTCATCTGCGGCAGACTTATCCTCCACACGCCTCACAGCCACCTCCCCTTGTTCATTAGGTCCTTGCGTTACTCGAAACCAATTCTTCTCGGGTTGAGTGGTAGTATCGTGAGATCCAGTTCCAGATCTGCCTCTCTGTTGCTGCCCGAAGGCACTGCTTTTCCAGTTCCATTGAGCTTCCCTGCCCTAGAAGGTGGAACTCTTCGAGGTACGTTCCAGGTTGTGAGACAGACTCACTTTCTCTCTCCCTGCGACACCGCAGCACCTGTGTCGAGCCGCCGAGCCGGTATTCGCAGCCCAGACTCTCAAGCGAACCTAGAACTCGAAGCCGTACGAGGAGGTTGGAAGCTCGCTTCAGCTTCAGGTTCCAGTACCTTCAGTGAGGCCCCATTCCCCGCTTCCGGCCGAGCATACAAAAGCTCCGCATCCCCAGCTGCACCCCTGGAGCTTCCACCCAGGCCCCATTCCAGGTGACATTCCTAGAAACTGAACCCCACCAAAGCGTGTTGTCTCGTCCTGGCTACGTCGACCAGTACAGTACGGCCTGCCCTGCCTGATCTGCTTCAAATAGAACCCAACCATCTGCTTATTCCTCTTTCTTGCTACCTCTGCTCGTCCTCTCTTCCTCTTTACGAACCTGAAAAATCAGTGTTTTGTGGCAGTTTCTGGTTTACTAACACGAAGCTGGGACGACAGAAGTATCTCTGATCTCGGCGAGCCCGTTACCCACCCACCTACATTGAGCCACCATGGCCCACGATAACCGTGAACCCCGCGAGGTCAAGAACCACCTCCTCTTCGAGGTTGCGACCGAGGTCGCCCATCGAGGTATGCGCAAAACTTCCAATTGTGCCAGAAAGAAGCTCCTAGTCTAACAATCACAATAGTTGGTGGTATCTACTCCGTTATCAAGTCGAAAGCCCCCGTTACAACCGCTGAATATGGCGACCGTTATACTCTTATCGGTCCCCTCAACCACCAATCGGTACGATTCTCTTACATCCCTTACCCCGTGGTATGGAAAACATGGTTGCTGACAGTAGTGATCACAGGCGGCCGTCGAGGTTGAAGAACTGGAGCCTACCAATCCTGAACTAAAGGCGACGATCCAGGCCATGAGAGATCGTGGCATTGGCATTCTGTACGGACGATGGCTCATTGAGGGAGCTCCTAGAGTGTTGCTTTTCGATACAAAGACCGCCTACGGTTACTTGAACGAGTGGAAGACGGACCTCTGGAACGTTGCTTCCATCCCATCCCCGGACAACGACGAAGAGACGAACGAGGCTATTGTCTTCGGTTACCTGGTCGCATGGTTCCTTGGCGAGGTCAGTATTTGCAAGACAGAGCAGAGAGGAGCCCGAAGCTAACAGACTTTGCAGTTCGTGTGCCACGAGAAGAAGAAGGCTGTTATTGCCCACTTCCACGAATGGCTTGCCGGTGTTGCGCTGCCATTGACCAAGAGGAGGCAGATTGACGTTACGACTATCTTCACGACACATGCCACTCTTCTCGGTCGCTACTTGTGCGCAGGCTCTGTGGACTTCTATAACAACCTTCAGTGGTTCGATGTTGATGCTGAGGCTGGAAAGCGCGGTATCTATCACAGATACTGCATCGAGCGAGCTGCCGCCCATTCTTGCGATGTCTTCACCACCGTTTCCCACATCACCGCCTACGAGAGTGAGCATTTGCTCAAGCGCAAGCCCGATGGTGTCCTCCCCAACGGTCTCAACGTCACCAAGTTCTCGGCCATGCATGAGTTCCAGAACCTCCATCAGCAGTCCAAGGAAAAGATCCACGACTTTGTCCGCGGTCACTTTTATGGCCATTACGATTTCGAGCCAGAAAACACCCTCTACTTCTTCACTGCCGGTCGCTACGAGTTCAGGAATAAGGGTGTGGATATGTTCATTGAGTCGCTTGCCCGTCTTAACCACCGCCTGAAGACCGCCGGAAGCAAGACCACGGTTGTTGCTTTCATCATCATGCCTGCCCAGACCACTTCCTTGACTGTTGAAGCATTGAAGGGGCAGGCCGTCATCAAGTCTCTGAGAGACACCGTCGATGTTATCGAGCGTGGCATTGGCCGCCGCATCTTCGAGCGCTCTCTCAAGTGGCACGAGGGCGACCCGTTGCCTGATGAGAAGGAGCTGATCACCAGCCAGGACCGTGTCCTCCTTCGTCGTCGTCTCTTCGCCATGAAGAGGCATGGGCTCCCGCCCATTGTTACCCACAACATGCTCAACGACCATGAAGACCCGATTCTGAACCAGATCCGCCGGGTACAACTCTTCAACCATCCCTCGGACCGCGTCAAGATTGTTTTCCATCCCGAGTTCTTGAGCTCGGCCAACCCCGTGTTGCCTCTTGACTACGATGACTTTGTGCGCGGCACCCATTTGGGTGTCTTCTCTTCTTACTATGAGCCTTGGGGTTACACTCCGGCAGAATGCACGGTTATGGGTGTACCAAGCATCACCACCAACCTTTCTGGATTTGGCTGCTACATGGAGGAGCTCATTGAGAACTCGAGCGACTACGGTATCTATATCGTGGACCGTCGCACCAAGGGCGTCGATGACTCAGTCAACCAGCTTACTCAGTACATGTTTGAGTTTGCCCAGAAGAGCCGCAGACAGCGTATCAACCAGAGAAACAGAACCGAGCGTTTGAGCGATCTCTTGGACTGGAAGCGCATGGGCATGGAGTACGTCAAGGCCCGCCAACTCGCGTTGCGCCGCGCCTATCCCACGTCTTTCAATGGCGACGAGGAGGAAGACTTCATCCCAGGAGTCGAGCAGAAGATTTCTCGTCCCTTCTCAGTGCCGGGCTCACCTAGAGACCGGACTGGTATGATGACCCCTGGCGATTTCGCTAGTCTTCAGGAAAGTCATGAGGGTTTGAGTACCGAGGATTACGTTGCGTGGAAGCTACCGTAAGTGATGATGTTCCCTCAGTAAAAGTTTGATGACATGATACTAACTTGCCCGATTTTAGTGAGGAAGAGGACCCCGAAGAGTACCCTTTCCCGCTTACCCTCAAGCAGCGCACGGGGCCGGGTAGCCCTCTCGATGGTGCTATCCAAGGCCTGCAAATCAACGGCAGCAAGTAACGCCGTCTCTTGCCTTTCTCTTCTTTTTCAGCATCGTTCAGTAATTGGTTGTCAGCGTTGAAGTTTAAAAGTAACGGGCTTCGTTGGGCGGAAATATGATTTGTCCGTCCGAGCCATTCACCCTGGTCCCCGGGAGAAGTGGAATTCGCAGATCATAGCCATACGAAGAGGTTACGATAGGTGAAGTCTATCATTGTTGGGTTGAGCAGGTATAAGGGTTGACGGGAGAAGGACCGAGACATGGGGACACAATATCCTCCCGGTCCTCCTTTCAACCTTCCTAGTCCCCGATAAAGTCAAGCTCTCGTGAAGGCACAGCAAAGCCAGTTCTGGTGTTCCGACGTCGGGTTTTGAGCAGGTACAATGGGGTAGGAATAGGACCGACGGTGTATGTAACTGTACAGTGTATTTGCCCGGCGGAGGTTTGCATCGTTTTCTCGTACCTAATAGATCGGCTTTCTACACTCAGTGGTCGTGATGATTGTGCTCAGATATGCGGGATGTCTTTAAAAATGAGGATTCGGAAGTAGCATAGGTATTGCGTACCTGGTTTCAAGGCTGAATGCTCAATGCCGAAAAGAGTGGGTGGATCGTGACACTCGCACATGGATGTTCTTCCCTTTGCATTTTCAGGGGCGCACGGGGCGTTCATAGGCTGCAGAGTAAGTGCAATGAGGTCCCCACTCCAGATATTAGTAGGGACCTAGCACTTACAAGGACGTGGGCACGAAGCAAACAAGCCTCAATCGCCAATCATTGCAAAGTCAGGAGCTCATCTCTTTGTCGCACTTTGACCAGCCATCTTTGGACGGTATGGCTCGTTTGAAGCAAAAATGCAATATCGATATGTCATTTCAGAGTGTCAAAGGAGAGAAAAGTGTCCTAGACCGATTCCGTGACGCATGTCA